GGGGAGGAGGAGTGGGAGAAAGAGGAAATGGGGAACGATCTGTAGACAGCGTCCGCGCCCAGGACCCCCGGAAGGATGACTCGAGGGCGTACGGGTTCGGCTCCTCGAAAAGGGGGCCGCGCCTTCTCCCGCCACTCTCTGCTGTGCTCCGCCTGCCCTGCCCGCTGTTGGGGCACCCCATCGCACACCTGACAGTGTCCAGCTGCCTGCGGCAAACCCCGCCGCCGCGCCAGTGCAACAGCGCAGCGGGAAGGAGGCTGAGTGCAGGAGCGGCGCAATTCCGACGAGCGTCATGAGTTGGGACGGGCTGTGCATTCGACCTCGCCTTCGTCCGCGCGGAAGAGAGGAGATCGAGTTCACGCCGGGCGGCGGTTCAGAAAGTAGTCTAAAGTGGGGAGGGCCGTGATCCTGACCTCAGCTTCGTCCGCGCGGCATGGAGGAGGAGGAGGAGGAGGAGGAGGAGGAGGAGCAGCAGCAGCAACAGTAGGAGCAGGAGCAGGAGCAGGAGTAGGAGCACGTAGGAGCAGGAGCAGGAGAAGGAGAACATGAGGACGAGGAGTAGCCAGCCTCTTGGGGCCTTCTTGGGGTCCCCTCGGGGCTTCCTGGGAGACTCCAGAAGGCCTCTTGGAGGCCTCATGGGGCCTCTTGGGAACCTCTTGGGCCTCGTGGGCACTCAGAGAGAGCCCCTGGCCCATCTGAAGCCTTCGCGTATTGGGTGCCTCTCTGGGCCGTCTCGGTGCCCCGGTGGAGCGCTTTAGTGACTTCAGTGCCGTCTCGGGTCCGCTTAAGCGGCTCTTTGGCAGTCTTGGGGTCCTGTTCGGCCGACTCGGGACCCTTGTGGGAACCTCTTGGCCTGTCTTCGAGCTATCTTGAAGGCCTCCTGGGCCGTCTTGGGCGTCAAACGCCGAAATTGGCGACAACCACACGATCACTTAAACACCTCAGGAACATCAGTGTGTGTGTGTGTGTTGCCCCCTTGGGCTCAAGTTCTAAGTGCCTCTTGGGTCCCATTTGGGCCGTATTGGGGGCCTCTCCGGCCGTCTTGGGGCCGTTTTGGTAGCCTCTTGGGCTGCCTTGGAGTTATTTTGGAGGCCTTTTGGGTGTTCTTTTGGAGCCGAAAAGCGAGAACCACAAAATCATTCAACCACCTTAGGAAGATCAGTGTGTATTGCCTCCTCGAGCTCTCCTGTAGAGTCTCTTGGAGCCCGTGGGTGCATCTTGGGCCGTCTTGGGAGCCGATTGCCTTGCCTTGGATCTATCGTGGAGGCCGCTTGGACCGTCTTGGGCGGCGTTGAACGCCGAAACATGCGAGCACCACAACATCATTCAAACGCCTTAGGCAAAACAGTGTTTTGTTTGCCTCCGTGGGCTCTCCCGCAGAGCCTCTTAGAGCCTCTTTGGGCCGTATTGGGGGTTCTCTTGGGCTGTCTTGGGAGCCTCTTCGGCCGCCTTGGGCCATCTTGGTGTCATGTTTGCTCTCTTGGAAACCATCTTGGAGGCCATCTTGGCCGTCTCGAGTGAAAAGGGCCTTGGAAGCAAATTCAGGGGGGGAGCGGTTTTCGAGGTACGCTTGCGAGTACGGCGGGGGGGGCCGCCCTAGAAAGACTAAGAAACCTCCCAGACAACAGACGAGCATTCTAGCACGCCCACCCCGTGCAGACCGGATGGTTTCTCCGCCCTCCGATTCTCCTCGTCGATCTCCTGTCGAGAAGCCCAGGTCTGCACGAACAGACCTTCCAAGGTCGAGCGCGACCCCGGGAGGCCTCCGAAGTTGCCTTCGCTGGCCCGGGCTGGCGCGGGCCTGCGCCCGCGCGGACCCCCCGCGACGTTGGCGCCGCCTGGCCGCTGCGCGGCGGCCTGCCCCGACGGCGCGTGGCCGACCCGAGCCGGGCCGCCCCACCGCGGCCTGCCGCGCCGCGGTCCGCCCGGCTCGGCGCCACGGGCGCCCGCGGGCGCGCACCGCCGCGCGCCTGCGCTGCCACGGCTTCGGGCGTCCTTCCCCCCGCTGCTGGTCCGGTGGTGCTCTGGGCGCAAGTTCAGAGCACCCCGTTGGAGCGCCTGGTGGTGACGGCTGGCCCGCCCCGGGGATCACGGCGCGCTGGCCCCCCCCCCGCTTCGGCAGTTTGTGTTCCCCGCGCAACCTTTTTGGTACATCGATGTCTTGTGCCCGGGTGCGCCTGCATGGTCCTCGTGGCGCAGAGTCTCTTCGCCTGAGCCTCCCGCCCCCCTCCCCCCCTCCGCGTTCCCCCCTCCGCGGCTAGTCCAAGTGTCCAGTGTGCCTCTGCCCAGCGCGGTTCGCTGGCTATTTGCTATTGCCTTGCCGCGGACCAATCAGTGTTCGAACACCCGGTGTGCAGCCCTGGCTGCCCTTTCGCAGGACTCCACTCGGAGCCTGGGCCGCAGCACAAGCACCCAGTCCGGTCCATTCTGTCCTGAGTACCGCCTCCGCAGCCCCTTTTCCGCAGGCGCCATGCTCTGAGGTATCCAGGCATCGGAGGACAGGCCTGACTGGGGACCTGTTGCTGGGGATGATGCCTCCCTCCCATCGCCTTACAATCTCAGCGTTGGTCCAGGCGCGGGGGGGATCTGATTCTTGGGCTCGGTGGGAGGAGGGGGGGGGGCGCAGCGGTTGGGCAGCCGATGCAACAGAGCGCGCGTCCTTCTGCGCGGACGGACGCGCCAATCGACCCTCGCGGGAGGAATTGGATGCTCGGCCGGGGCCCGACAGTTCGGTCGTTTCTGATTTGCATGACATGTGTGTTCGCACGCGAACGCCGGCAGATGGGGACCAGTTGGCACAAGGGCATCTCAACCCTTACGGGAGGGTCGCGGAGTCAGTCGCGGTGTGGGTCGCGAGGTTGTCGCAGGGGTACGACAACAACAACAACAGCAACAACAACAACAACAACAAACAAGCAGAATTTGGGCCACGGCATCATATTCAACCGACGCACCGAGGGATGGTGTGATACCGTTCGGTCCCTTCACACTGATCATCCATTTCCGCGACGTAGACCCGAACAGGTGTATCCCTCAATGGCGGGCCTCGCGTTTCACAACCCTGGGGGTTTGTCGCAAGGGTGAATTCGAATTGCATTTTCATAGGACACTGCACCATCGCGTCGGGCACGTCATTATTCTCTGACGCGAATGACAGCAGCTCGCACACGTAGGTAGCGTGTTGGGAGAGGCCCCGCAGAGGGGGCACACGTTCCTCGGAGTAGTTGATCTTGTTCGTCCGACGATCCGTCCCCCTCTCGCGGTCATGATCGAGCCGACGAGGCGGAGTCAAGAGCCCCTTTGCCGTGCTCGGGCAAGTTTCATTTCATTGCGGTCTAAATTATTTTCCGACAGTTACGGGAGGGAGGGAGGGAGGACGCGGAGGAACAGGAGGGCGATGAGGAACAGGAAGTCATACAAAAACGAGTTGTCATGATTACCTGTTGCCATACAAAAGCGGGAGGGAGGACGATGAGGACAATCAGGGCGGGAGGACGAGGAAAATAAGGGCGATGATGAAAAAGGAGGGCGATGATGAAACGGGAGGGAGGCAGACCAGCGGCGACACCTGCGGCAGATTTGGTCCTCACCCCATTGGCGGACTTATCGGCTTCGACAACCCTCCCAGTGAGATCGTTGCGGCCAGTTTCCCCAGGGGCAAGAGGGACATCGAAATACAGTTCCCCCCGTTGTGGCCGGTCGGGGAGGGAACGGACCTTCCTTCGCTGTACTCTCTTGTTGCCGCTCCTTGCCGCCTTTCCAACCATCGAGTTGTTGCAGTCTGCTCGATTTACATTGCGGGACATTCAGCATATTGTTGATCATGATGAATGTGTGCTTGCGACGAGGGCGAAGAACGTGGCGGCGCGAATTGAATGGTGCGTATACGCGCGCCAGTGCTGGGTACGGGTCTTCTACACCTGGACCAGGTTCGTATCAGCCGAACGCGTTATTGACAAGGTGTGCCGCTTTCAGACGATTGTCTCTCTTTCTACTCTGTCTATCTCGCTCTCTCTCTCTCTCCCTCTTTCTCTTCTCTCTCTTTCACTCTCTCTGTCTCGAAGAAAGAAGAAGACCACGGGTGAGGCCGTTGGGGCCTCTTGGGGTCCCTCGGGGGCCTTTTTTGGGCCTATTGGGGGCCTCTTCGGGCCGCTTGGGAGTTTCTCAAGCGCCTGCTGGCAGTCTCGGGGGTTCTCTTGGGACGGAGGGATCGGATTGTCAGTTCAAGTTGCCTCTCGTTGGCCCCTCTTGGAGACCTGTTGGGACCCTCTTGGTCCATCTTGGGCGCCTCTTGGGTCGTCTTGGGGCCCTCTTTGGCCGTCTTGGGGCTCTCTTGGGGGCTTCTCCGGCCGTCTTAGAGTGATCTTTGGGGCCCTTCGGGCCGTCTTGCACGCTGTTAAGACCAAACGTGCGAATATGCAAATCTTGCAAGCTGTCTAAAAGGACCGGGACGATTTTTGCCTCTTGGTATTGGAGCCCTTTTGGGGCTTGTTTGAGGCCACTTGGGCAGTCTTGAGGCCGTCTTGATTATCTTTAGGACTCCTCGGCGTGTTGGAGACCAGCTTGAGCCAGCTTAGATGGCATCCTGCGCATCTTGAAAGCCCCCATGTGTTTAATGAGTTCCCAGTGCCTCCCCCCATGGGCCCCCCCTTCTAAAGCGATGTTTGACCCCTGGGGAGGGCGAAAGGGGGAGGGGGACAGCCAAATGTTGAACTCGCCTTTCCACACCCCAGGCAAGCGGGGGTCGACGGATCTCTCTTTCTCTCGGCCTCACTCCCTCCCTCTCTCTCTCTCTCCTTCTGTGTCAGCGCCGCATTTTTGTATTTGCTCGCTCTCATTCTCTCGTTCGCTGTCTCTCCCTCTCTCTCTCTCTCGTTTTCCCTATCTCTGTCTGCCTCTCTCTAATTCTCCCTCTCTGTTTATCTATACGTACAATATCAGTCTCTCTCCCTCTCTATCTCTGGCTCTCTCTCTCCTTTGTCCCCTCAGATGGAGACGGGGATGGGGCAAGTACGATCGTGATGACGAGGAGAAGACGTTGGGTAAACTGCACACTGAACAACACGCCCAGCGGGAGGGGAGCTGGAGGGGGAGGAGCGTGAGCACGAGGAGCAGGGGCATCAGCAGCAGCGGGTCAGCAGCCTTCGTCCACACGGGTCTCGCACGGTGCTCGAGCAGCGGCAGGAGGGGCAGCAAGAGGGGAGCGAGGAGGAGCCTTCAGGAGATGGTGTGCGGAGGAGGGGAGATTGGCAGCCAATCCGCGTCCCGTCGCCGCCTCTTCTCTGCGTTCCGGCCTCGGCGCCTCATGGGCTCGGCCGTGCATCAAGGTACGCGAACGGGCGGTCGAGGAGAGGAAAAGGAGGACCGGAGGAGAAGTAGTGGCATAGTCGCAGGAGGAGGAGGAGGAGGCGAGGAGGACCATCGTAATCTGTCGACGTGCGTTACAGACACTGACAGAACTCAGCACAACACCACAGATCATAACATAGTATAACACAACATAACACATCATAACATAGCTGAGCATACCATACCATACCACACCAGATCATACAATACCACATCAACACATCCCATATCATTGTTCACAGTGAAACGTATATCATGACAGAGCGACGTAGAACATGCAATATCATAGCACAACGCAACATATCATACTACCACAACATGGCATAATCTATAACACGATATGACAAAGCAATGTATACATCATGGTAACAACACATGCTATGACATAGCGGAACGTACAGACCCCATCATCACACCATACAACATAACGTACCAGGTCACATGTGAATACTCATACCAGAGCATGGGATAACACGTTATACCAGGGCAGATCATGTTACGATACACCACAGCATGACAACACCGATCATCACATACCTTGGCAATTGATACCATGGCAGAGTGCGGCACACAACCTTGTTACTTGGCATGTCGTTACACATCATAATATCATGTTAACACAGACCATGGTATACCATACCTTGGCAATGACATAGACTGGCAACACACACAGGCAACAGCGCATGCAATCACATTGCCGAGCACACACAACACATCATGAGGCCGCACAATGTAACACAGTTGATTATAACATCATCATATACCATAGCAAAACTCAGTGCACCATACAATTGAACTACATAATATGTTCTACCGCAACACAGCTATGCGCTACATACCATTCCAACGTATCAGGACACCTATCATGACATAGCTTTTGACCAAATGAGGTAATATCATGCAATGACGGAGCAGATCATGCCACAACGCAGCATCGAGCATACCGCAACACAACAACGCATACCATGGCAGATCTGAGCATAGCAGAGAACATCATGATACATAGCAGCATACATACCATAAGATTTTTGATATTGCCGCCGCGGCGACAACGGTTGCATTCTGACATCGTTGGCTTCAACCTGTAGCAAAGGGAGATCGGGACAACATATCATAACATCATACACTGAGCGGAGCACAGCACAACCAGCAGACCATGCAATCATTGTTACTTTAGTGGCCCCATTGCGACACCGGTTTTTGATGTACCATCAATCACTATAACGCAATGTGAAAGGTATGCCATAACATAACAGGTTTGGCTATACTGGCGTAAACTGACCATCCCGTAAACCGCATGATTGAACATGTCCTACTAATACATATCCTGGCAGAAGACATCATGCCATAGCGTGCTGCCACAGAGTAAGTTTTACAATCACATTGCAAACCACATTGTGACGGAGGTGCTGATAACGTACCATACTCTCAACAGGCGACCATAGATAATCGAAGAGGAACATCTCAACATAAAATGCCGCAGTATTAGCTAATCAAACGCGATGTGCGCACTCAGGTCAGGTTGGCCACAGGAGCCAACGAGCGCAACACTTACCGATTGTACGACGTATTTTGTGTGACAGGTGCCTCGACGTTACGTTACGAAGGCCCGCCAAGAACAGAGCAGGACATGGTCCAGCATCACATAACAGAGCATTACCACATGGAACATAGTTGCGTGGTGTTAGATACAACAGCGGCAGTGGTCAAGAGGAACATCGCACCATAACATTGCGTAGCTCAACAGAGCTGATCACAACATTCTACACGGAACTGATCATACCGTCAACAGCATCATTGAACGGAGCATAGTAAACCACAATTTGACATGACATCTCATGCCATGACAATGGGCTGCATAATAGAGCATAGCATAACATATCACAGCATTCTGGGGCAGATTTTAATTTCAGTTTTTAACTTCAACGTGCGGGAAGTCATAAGTGTAGAGGAATGTCATAACATGAAGCCCATATTGTTAGATAATCAAACGCGCGGCGTGCGCGCCAAGGTCAGGCTGGTCACCGGGACCAGCAGGCTCAGCAACGACCGATTGGACGGCGTATCGAATGGGGCAGGCGTCACGACGTCATGCCAGTCCTTCTAGACATAATGACGCAGAATACTACCACACGTAATCTAGTTCACTGGTTGGGAATACAGCAACGACAGGAGTCAAGAGGAGCAGTACGACCTAACATAGCATAACGCAGCGTAACATGTCGCACTGCACTTCAGCGAGCTCAGCATAACGTCAGCAGCACCACTGATCGTAGCATATGAGAACATAGCCTGGCACAACATATAGTGTCATAACATCTACCATAGGGCAGTGCAAAACATATCAACTTTACTAATACGTGACAGAGGTTAGCATAACTGAGTATATGTTTTAAAGATACAAAGTGAAGGCGGACTCCTGCTCCTCCCCCTGTTGTTGTCGTTCCGCTTCCTGTTTAAACATTGTCTTGATTCTCCCTGAACAAAACCTGGGGTCTCTCACCATGCGTTTCGGAGCGTGTTTGCGTTCGCTCCAGGGCTTGGTTCGGTTTCGTTCGTCCGGGGCTCTGGGGTTGTTAGATTTTCGGGCGACGGCAATTTGCGATTTGGCCCGACCGCCGCGCTGGCCGAGCCCACCCGGCCCCGCGCGCATCGTTCCAGTAAGCGTGCGCACCGTCATGAACAAACGCCAGTCGTTTCGGTGGGGACCGCTCGAAGCAAAATAGTTTTTCTTGTGAAATGTTCAGCCAGTGTGAGCTGGGCGGGGAAGGTTCCGCAGTGTTCCCTCCCGCGCCACGCGGGCATCGTGCGGTTGCCACGCTCTCTTCGGCATTGTCATGGCCGAATTCATATGTTTTGTTTTAAGCATATTGGTTCGCGCCAACTTTGGCGGCGTTCAGCTTTTCAGCGGCATGGGCCGCCCGCGTCCCGTTCTTGCTAGCGCCGCCTCCGCCTGCTGAGCAGGCTCAGGGCTGCAGGGCAAATCTATATTGCTGGGGCTTGTCGACACCGAAAGGAAAAAACACTCTTCTCACAACCCCCCCAAGCCCACCACAAGCCCAAAACTCGAAAAGAGAGCAACTACATAAACATCAAAGTTGGGAAGTCCTGTCAGAGTGTTGGATTTGCGCGAAGCGCGCTGATGGGGGCGCCTGAACGAACCCAAGAATTCTGCGCAGACCTCCGATTGTTTTTTGCTCCTCTCTGCCCCCCGGATTTCTCAGAGCACCCCGTGATCTCGGGGGATGTTATCCGACTGCCTCGCCGATCCTGGTGGGGCCGACTGTGGGCCCAGGATCAGTGTAACGTTAGCCCCAGAATTCTCTCCGTCCTCTCCCCCTCTCTCTCACTCTCTCTCTCTCTCTCCCTCACTCTTTCTCTCTGTCTCTTTGGGGGGAACAGCGCTCCCGGCGGCGAATGATTTGATATAGGTCCCCCTCGGCAGTTACGATGTTTTATTCAGCCTCGCGGCCTTCTACTGTTCTCGCGATGTGAAGACACGTGCCTCAGCCGATCTTGGGCCGCCCTCGCTTTTATGATTCTTGGCCCCGGAGCCTTTTTGCAGGCTAACTCTGGAACCCTTACCCGTTCTCCAGGCCGAGCCAGGAGGGCGTGCGCACCGATCCTGGGCCCATGTCGGGCCTGGCCAGCATCGGTGAGGCTGAAGCCCCCTGGTGGAGCCCCCGCGGTGTTCGGAGCCTCCCCCTCCTCCCTGCGCGGGCGCCAGGCCAGAGTCCCCGAGCTGGTCGAGCGGCGGTGGCCGCGGCAGGGAGCAGCTGCATTTGCGGCCCGGCGCTCGGACGGGGGCGCTGGCGGGGGGGCCCTCCCGTTCGGCGCGATCGCAGCGGGAACGGAAATATTGGGGGCGAGGGGGTCACGTTTGCATTTTTGTTAGGGGGTGAAGTCCGCCACACGTTCTGTCATTTGCCGATTCGCTTGGTCCTCGAGACTGCCCACCCGACCAGATCCTTACATGGACAGAGTTTGCGGATTGGGTTCAGGCTCCAGGTAAAGACCGAGCAACGGTCACGATTGCAGGGGCGCCCTCGCCCTCGTCACGTTCGCATGGCGCTCGTCGTAGATGATGCAATACCACACTTGCATGGGCGCCGCCGCCACAGTCGCCGCCCACCCCTTGTTACACTTGTTACGGCGACCCCGCCTCGCACCCCAGGGCCATGGATGTTACACCATGGGGGTGACACAACGGTTTCACATGGGCCACATGGGTACGGAATTTTAAAGCCAGCAGTATATCCTGCCTATTTTGAACAGGACGCGCTGTTGGCGTCGCCGTGGACGTTCACCGAACAGCGGCCGCTGTCGGTTCTGGACCACACTTGCTGTTGGGCGCTGTGCCCACTGGTTCCCGCACCCGCTGCCCCTCCCGCTACCCCTGTCCTGCTCCCCCCCGCCCTCTCCTCCCCCTCCTCTGCCTTAGGTCTTCCCCTCCTTCTCTCGGGTCGGACGACGGGGATGGGAGGGATAGGGAAGCGTGCAGGGGGGCGGATCTTGCTGCGCGCAGCTGCTTCTGGCCTCGCCGCTGGGCGCTTTCTTCGATACACTGGCGCCTCCGGCGCCAGGAGGCGCGAGTAGCAAAACGGCGTGAGTTGGCTCGCGATTTGCTCTACTACCCCCTTCTGTCGTCTGACCCGACATTCCTCGAGTATTGATCAGAAGAAGACGCGCGGCATAAACATCTTTGGTTCGTCAGTGAACGCGGGGGCAGGGGGGAGGGAGAGAGGATGAATGGGAAGGAGGCACGGTATGGTAGGAAGGGCATGTAGGGTTGAGAATGAGTAGTGGCAAATCGGGAGCCATGTCAGGAGCAGATCTGACGGTCTGCGACACGCCGGTTCTCCTTGGTGAGCGATCATTTTTTTGCCGGCGTCGACCACGACACGACGACGACGCAGGCGTAGTCAGCAATCATTCCTGGTGGGGGTACGCCCCAGCCCCCATTGGCCTTGCCAATGAGGGTGAATTCCAATCCGTGCCGTCTTCTGATTCGCTCGCCGCCTCGGTCGTTGCAGTATTCGGGCCTCTTGAGCCGAGTCGCCTTAATCAAGAATTCTAAACGCTTCGCGTATCCCCACCAGCCTGTCCAGAAGCGAGCCCCAGGGGAGTGGAGGTGATGAGGGAAGCCAAGGAGCATGCAGAAGAACAAAGGGCGGTGTAAGCCGCCATATACCCCAAGAGGGGGAGGATGTAGGAGGAGTCGTCGTCGTCGGAGTAGGAGGAGGAGGGAGGAGCAGGAGGAGGGAGGAGCAGGAGGAGGAGGGGGAGGAGGAGGAAGATGAGGAGGAGGAGATGGAGGAGGGCGAGGACGGGGAGGACGAGAAGGAGGAGGAGGAGAAGGAGGAGGAGGAGGTGGAGGAGGAGGAGGAGGAGAGGGAGGGGGAGGAGGGAGGAGGAGGAGAAGGAGTAGGAGGAGGAGGAGGAGGAGGAGGAGAATGGCGAGCTTGGGGGCCTCTTGGGCCGTCTTTGGGGCCTCTTGGCGGTCCTGGGGGCCTCTTGCGTATCTCGGGGAGCCTCTTGGGGGTCTCTTGGGAGCCTCTTGGAGGCCTCTTGGGCGCCTCTTGGGGCGTCTTGGGACCCTCTTGGGGCGCTCTTGGGGCGCTCTTGGGAGCCTTCGGGGCGCTCTTGGGGCCATGTTGGATGAGATCTATCAAAGAATGGGGGGGGGAATTAGTGTTGCCCCTCTAGAGTGCCTCTTGAGCCCCAAAAGAGGCCGAAATCCTTCCAAAACCTAGGGATATCAATGTTTTTTTGCTTTCCCGCCTTTTCACTCTTGGAGCCGTCTTGGACGCCCCAACGACCCGCGGACCCCCCCGTCCAGGTCCAGGGGAGGGGGTAGTGGTAGGGGTAAACCCCTCCCCGAAGGGGAAGAAGGGGGTTGGAAGAGGAAAATCTCTAGACCACCGACGCCCAGAGGGCTGGTGGGATTTGCGAAAGAGCAGCGGGAAAGCACAAGTGGAATACGACATACTGCAGACGCTTCTTGATGGCGCACCACTGTCAAGAGTCCGGCGCTGAGCCTGGCTATGTTCGGGAATTCCGCTCATCCCCAGCCTTTCGTTGCTTTCCTCTCAGATACCCCTTCCCTTGTCCGTCATCCTCTACGTTTGTCATCTTTCGGACGTGTGCGTTTTTCTCTGCGAGGACCATCGATGAGCAGTTTGACTCATCTTGCAAGCAAAAGAAAAACGCACGATACCAAACACTACACGGTGAACGGACGTCCGAGCGATGGCAAGTACCTCTTATTGTTGTGGCCGCGCCTGGCCGTTCCGCGTTGGATGACCTCAAGGCATTCGATCTTGAGCTGAAGTTCGCTAAGACATGCACGGACGTGCACCAGTGGCGATCGAAATCATGTATGCAGTGGGGAGCGTGTTGAATTGATGCGTTTCGTTGCAATCCACCCCGACAGAGCCAGAACGGCGCTAAGCCGTAGTTCCGTATGCTTAGTTTCATGTTTGTTTGCCTATCGCCAGGGGCGCAATTTGGTTGCTGGGAGTGGAGATCTAGGTATTTGTAGGGCTCAGATTCCCTCTCTCCGCTGTCCTACGCTGCCTTGGAACAGTAATGCAACTTTCAGCGTCGATTTGTCTGTCTTCGGCGCGCCTTCGGCTTCTCGTAGTTTTTGGCCTCGGGGGCTGCTTCCGGGCTCCAGGACGGTCAGAAACGGACCTAGGATGTAAGACGTGACTATCCCCAGGGACGTCCCCAGACGATGCTTCGATACGACCTGCTAAATTGGCAGTACTGTTCTAGGGGGTATAGGGCAAGCCAGCTCGAGTGGGGAGAGAGATTCCGAACCCCCCTTGTCGTGGGCGACATAGATCTCCGTATCCGCGGTCTCGCGGGCCGGGCCCCTGGGGCATAATGAGCGGTTTCTGTGTTGGGCGCCCTCCCCCCTTGGCGCCCGTGCGTCGCGCTGCGCTCCTGTTCGCCACGGAGGCGTGGCGTCGTCTGGCACGGCCCCATAGCTCTGATGATGGTTGCGACGATGGGTTGTTTCGGGCGGTGGTGGTGTATATACCAACTGGCCTCGCAATCCAGGGATCGAGGGCCCGATCGCCCCCCGCGCGCGCGCGCCCGGCAGCAACGCGACGAACCCCGGGCCCGGGGCGTACTCCAGCGAGCGGGCGCGCCCCCCGGCCGCGCGCGGGCGGCCTCTGGCTCTCGCCGGTGAAGGGAAGGGGCCACGAGGGAGGAGGTCGTTCCCGGACACCCTGAGGTGTTCGGGCCCTCGTTTTTTGAAGAGGCAGCGCCCCGCGTCCTTTCGTCTTCTCCTCTTCGTCCCGCCTCCCCTTCCTCCTCTTCCTCTGCCCTCCGCACATCAATTTCGGCACACCCGTCACACGCTTCATGGCCCCATAGGGAGCTCCGCCGAAACGACGACGGTGCTCACAACGGCGTCACTCACATCTGCATATGGTTGGGTCCTTCGCAAGGCTAGTTTTTTATACACTGGGTGCGTAACGATCGCTACCCCGGCCCAAACCCCCTTTCCCCCCCAGTAAAGGTGACCACCGGGCGTAGGTGGGGGTCCTGGACCCCCCCCGACATGCCAGTGCTCGCTCGTATACTATGGCGATCGCAGGGCATCCCCGCCCCGACGTGCCCCACCACGCCAAAGCGTCAGGTTAGGTTCATGCGGCGTTGGCGCGCCGGCGACGCCAGCGAAGGCGTTCAAGGTTGAATTCTGCGACACGGAAGCATCGATGGACACGGTAACGCCTCTGGCCCCGATTGCATTCAACCTGGAACGATCGGGGCCGCGATCGATTCAAGGTTGAATGATCGGCACGGTGTCAAAGACCGTTTCCTTCCCACACCGTTTCCACCCCGCCCCCCTCTGTGGAAGTATGGAACAAGTGCCCTGGAATTTGATATATCATCGCTGGAGCTTCTATTTTCCCTGATGATGTAGAACTCACTGGTGCGATGCAGAGAAATGCGTAACATGAATGAATCGCGGCGACATCAAGAAAGTATATGTTTATACAATACATGAAGAAGTTCATTTCGCAAGGCAATGAAGGCAGTGCGCTGGCCAGAACCAGTCTCAGCTCAACCAAATGCCACCGGGGCGGGGCTTAATCTGGCTACCATCGCGGCTTTACTTGATGTGATGCATGAATTCGTAAGGGCTTCGCCCACTCCCGCAGGCCCCCTTGTCATATAATGGGAAGGTGGGATGCGAGGGCGCCGTCGTGAAGCAATGTCGGGACTTCACGCGAGGCCCAATATCGTACGTTACGGTTTGCAGGGCAAAATTGACAAACAGCACATCTCTCGGAATTTGACGGTTCGCATTGGAAGTTTGCTGACAATCGTGGCTTCGGGACGCAAGTATCGTGCAATTTACTAGGGATCGTAGCCAGGGGGGACGTGAATGCAGCGTATGATTTGCAAAAGGATCGTGGCCTCGAGGACGCGACTATTTGTAATTTACGAAGGATCGTAGCCTCGGTGACGCACACGTCGTGCAATTTACCAAGGATTTTTGCCTCGGGGACTCGGACGTCACGAGTTCACATGGGATCATGGTTTCGAGGGCGCAAATTCGGTGCAACTTGCGACGGACCGTGGCCTCGGGGATGCAATACTGCGGAATGTACGAGGGGCCGTGGCCTCGGGGACGCCAACATTGAATAATTTACGGGGGATCGTTGCCTCGATGGCGCCAAGACTGCGAGGGATTATGACTTCGAGCGCGCAGTTCGGTGTAGATTGCTAGGGATCGTGGCTTCGGAGGCGAGAGAGAGAGAGAGAGACAAGAGAGAGAACGACAACACCACTCCCATCCAATTATCTTCCCGCCTCGGCCCTCATACTCCCTCCTCCTCATCCCCCGTCTCCATGTCTGGTTCTACTTCCCCGTCTGGTTCTACTTCCCCGTCCTCGCACATTCACTTGGTAGAAGGATGAACCCGGGGGCGGGGAAGGTGGAGGAAGGGCATGGGGATGGAGGGCGATAGGGACACGGTTCCGCATCTATCTTGTTTTCCTCATCGCCATTCTCTTTCCACATCGCCTCTCATCCTCATCGCGCATCCTTGCCTTTTTTCAAGGGGGGTATTACGAAGAGGCGCGTTGGGCAGGGAGGGATGAGGCATGATGTTGACGAGGAGCAGGAATACTCGTTCAGTTGTTATTCGCCCCTCTTCATCCGAGGAGGAGGAGGAACCAGCGACGACGAATATGATGAGGACGATTGGTTTGGCGGTGGTGCACCCCATTTACTCTTGCAGTGCCATCGTCATCATCATGTTCGTCACCCGCCCCCTGTAATCATCATGAGCATGTCTTTTCCTCTGGGGAGGGGAGAAGGAAGACCCAAGGATGATCATGCAACGGGAAGAGAAGGACGCGGATGAAGATGATGGCAATATGCGAAGGAGGACGGGGGGGCAGGATGAGGACGAGACGGGGGGGAAAGGCGACCGAAAAATGAACAGGGGTAGAAATCGGGGTGGGACGAGGATCATGGAAAGCATGGAGAGAAGGACGACGAGGATGAAGCGAGCTTTTTTTGTGCCGGCGTTCCACTCGATTTCCGCTTGTGGCGGCCTCGCACCATGATTCCGTTTTGCGGTGGCTTTGCAACAGAAACTCTTGTTTGCGGCGGCCTTGCAGAAGGATGTCTTTGTGTAACAGCCATAGAGCACAGTCCTTTTCTGGTGGCCTTGCACAAGGAGTTTCTTTGTGACGGCCTCACACAATAATTCTCTCTTGCCGACCTTACACAAGATGATTGTGGTTGTAGCCGCCTTGCAATTTTCTTTCCTCGTCGAGGCGGTCTTGCAAATTGTGATTTCCTCAAGGGCTCTCCTCGTGACGGCCTTGCAAAAAGATTCCTTCTGTTGTGTCTTTACAGGTAATCTCTTCTTGTCACGGCCTGACAGCAGGAATCATGTTCTGGCGGTCTTAAATGAGACTTTTGTGGAGGCATTACAACCGAATTTCTTTTGTCGCGGCCTTGCAACATGATTTCAAATGTAACCTCATTCAGAATTGTGGAGCATGTGTGTGTGTTCTAAGAATTTTGTATATGAGGCTCTTAGCAACATGTGAAAACAATGCGACTTCAACCATCGGAACCCCCAAATCTTGTAAAACACGACGTGTTCAACAATCGGCGTCCCCGAAAGCTGTAACGCTGTGTTTTCAGACGTCGGAGTTGCGAAACGTGATATAACATAATGTCTTCAGCCGTCGAAGTTCCAACATACTGTGTTTTACAGCGGTTCGCAGCTCCGATGGTTGAACACGTTTTCTGACATTGCGTTTGGGAGTTCCGATTGCTGACAATCATGTGTTTAACAGCGTTTGGGAACTCCGATGGCTGAACACGATGTGCTTTCATGATTTGCAAGTTTCTGGTACCAAAATCATTGAAAACATGTGTTATACGTCCATTTGAGTTGACATGTATTTCCCAACCATCTTGTGGTGTTGGGTCCTCGTTTTGAAGAGACGTCGCCCCGCGTTCCTCCTCATCTCTTCCTCCCCCTCCTCCCTCCTCCTCCCTCCTCCCCCTCTTCCCTGCGTTTCACCCACCAAGTACAGCGTTTCGTAGCCCCATACGGAGCTCCACCGAAGGCCCCAGTGCCACCGTCCACATGCGTCCCCCCCACTCAGTACAGCGTTTCGTGGCCCCACAGGGAGCTCCACCGAAGGCCCCAGTGCCACTGTCCACATGCGTCCCCCCCCACTCAGTACAGCGCTTCGTGGCCCCATAGGGAGCTCCACCGAAGACCCCAGTACCACCGTCCACATGCGTCCCCCCCCCACCCAGTACAGCGTTTCGTGGCCCCATAGGGAACTCCACCGAAGGCCCCAGTGCCACCGTCCACATGCGTCCCCCCCACTCAGTAGAGCTCCACCGAAAGGCACCAGTGCCACCGTCCACATGCGCCCCCCCCACTCGGTACAGCGTTTCGTGGCCCCACAGTGAGCACCGAAGGCCTCAGTGCCACCGTTCACATGCGCCCCCACACTCAGTACAGCGTTTCGTGGCCCCACAGTGAGCTCCACCGAAGGCCTCAGTGCCACCGTTCACATGCGTCCCCCCCACTCAGTTCAGCGTTTCGTGTCCCCATAGGGAGCTCCACTGAAGGCCCCAGTGCCACCGTCCACATGCCCCCTCCCTAATCAGTATCTCGTTTCGTGGCCCCATAGGGAACTCCACCGAAGGCCCCAGTGCCACCGTCCACATGCGTCCCCCCCACTCAGTACAGCGCTTCGTGGCCCCATAGGGAGCTCCACCGAAGCCCCCAGTGGGACCGTCCGAGTGCGGCCTGAAACGCTTAGTTTTTGGCATTTTCACACGCCCTTTACACCGTTTCGTGGCCCCACAGGGAGCTCCACCGAAGGCACCAGTGCCACCGTCCGCATGCGTCCCGCACACCCAATGTGGCATTTTTTCCCACCCAGTGCAGCGTTTCGTGGCCCCACAGGGAGCTCCACCGAAAGCCCCAGTGCCACCGTCCGCATGCGTCCCGAAAACCCAACGCGGCATTTTTACCCACCCAATGCAGCGTTTCGTGGCCCCTTAGTGAGCTCCACCGAAGCCCCCAGTGGGACCGTCCGCATGCGTCCCGGAAGCCCAATTTGGTACTGTCACCCGCCCAGCACAGCGCTTCGTAGCCCCATAGGGAGTTCCACCGAAGCCTCCAGTGGGACCGTCCGCGTGCGTCCCGGAAACCCAATTTGGCATTTGCACTTGCCCAGTGCAGCGTTTCATGGCCCCATAGGGAGAGCTCCACCGAAGCCCCCCAGTGGGACCGTCCGCATGCGTCCCGGAAATTTTACTTGACACACCACTCACCCAGAACAGCGTTCCCCCCCCACCCAGTGCAGCGCTTCGTGGCCCCATAGGGAGTTTCACCGAAGAAGATTTTCACAATTGCGGTGCCCACAACTGCATATGTTTGGGTCCTTCGCCAGGATTATTGTTTTCAGCCGTTCCGTGATTTCTTCCAGTATTACCCACGAAAGGAGATCCTTGTGCACTGCCGCCACACAACAATCCTCGTGTAAGGCCGCGACCAAGGTATACCTTTGTCAGGCCGCCGCGAAAGGGAAGTCTGATTGCAAGGCCGCCACAAGAGAGATATTCTTGCAAGGCCGCCACAAA